AGGATTTGACTGTGTGGAAGTTATCACAGATATAGTGATGATAAGCTACTAGGGTGCATGATTTCTAGAAGATCATGAAAGCTGTGGTCCTCATCAGTAACACAGAAACGTGGTAGAGAAAAAGATTCAAAGGTTTAAGCAAGGAATTCCCAAGTTCATTTGTCCTGTTCAAGTGGTCTAATCTTGGATATAGTAAATACAATAGTTTATAGTTTCTGGAGGCAATATAGGTAAGCTGAGCAAAAGAAATACATGACAGATGATCAGAGGTAGAGGGTACTATCTCAATAAAAGTTGCACTCTCTCACCTAGTTTCCAAATCAGACATGGACTACCCTAACTAAACAGGTGGCTGATCTTTTATGAGTAAGCAGTCAGTCTCCAGTACGAGGGACAATCCTTTTCTTTGTCATCTCCTCACCCTTTAACCTCGGGACCTTGGATCACTTATACAGGCAAATCTGCTTTGGAGCAAAGGAATATACTCAACAATTACTGAACACAGTCTAGATGACTAGAGACCAAATGAGCCAGCATGGCTTACTACTGCAAGGACATATAGAGGCTACCAGAGTGGGAGCAAAAATCTGGCCCTCAGTGGGCCCAGTGCCTCACTGAGCAGCCTGATGATCTTTGCCTCTTGTCTACACAGGTAAATGGAAGCAGATTGATTCTGTGACAATTTCAGAAAGCGTTAGTATAGTGGCTAGGGGCAAGTAGAAGCTCTGAGACTGCTCCTGACCCCAGCAAAAAGGAGACATGAAAACCAAAGCTGAATTCCAAAAGGAATGGGAGAAAATCAATGGAAGTCTTGCATTTTAGTACTGTAATAACCTCTGTCACATTTCAGAAATGTAGTAGCCCCAGTGGCCACTTCCACACTCAGTGCTGCTTTCTTTGCTAGAAGGCATGTAATGTGGCAAATGTGGGTTTTGCCACATGGATTAAAATGGAGAACCAGATGAAGTCTGCCTTCTCCTTAGACCGACACCCGTTTCTGCTCACGATGTTATCTATATACATTCCCTTTGAAAATATATAAACTTGAAGGATCTGGATTTTACAGTCATTCTGTACAACAATACATAGAGTCAGTGAATGATTGAAATCATGTGGTAGCACCAGATAGAGATATAAGCAAGTATGTAAGAGCACTTGGTAAGTTGTTATACAATGTACCTAGGGAATGAATGACTAATCTCATAAAACCTCAGAAGACTTCTGATACTAGATCATTTTCTTATTTCTCCTACAAAACTTGTGTGTGTGTATGTGTGTGTGTGTGTGTGTGTGTGTGTGTGTGTGTGTGAGAGAGAGAGAGAGAGAGAGAGAGAGAGAGATTATAGATGTTATAAACAAACATAAGACTAATGGTAGAGGACAGAAGTTAGCCGATGCAGGTGTCTCAGAATACAAAGGATGACATGACAATGAGTCCTGGTTAGTTTGCTTCACTGAATATTCTAGACTGAATACTAGAGAAGCCAGTAACCTCAGAACATCCATAGATAGAAGCAACAACAGAAACTAAGTTTTCCTTTGGGAGGCTGGTTAGACTGCTTGCTGGGGCTTGAGAAGCAAACGTATGACATTTGGTGACCCGGGGAGCTGCGTTCGGTGGTAAAGGAGGATTGAAAAGATGACTTGATGACTAACAAGCTTTAATTACATTATGATTTGTTATTATTGTTACCTCCAATGTAGATATTAATAATTGGTGACAACGTATCAATTGTTAAATAAGCTTGCTGTGAATACATACACCCTAAGTTGTTCACTCAATAGTGAAACTTCATTTTCATTTGCTTTGCAACATAAAAATGTGTAACCAGTTTCAAAAATAATTCAATTGAAATACTTTCAGACAAAGTGGATTTTTTCTATCCTTTCTCTAGGCTGAGATGAATTATTTATTAAGCAACTTGAATTTAAATCCTTTGATGTCCAGACAGTAAATTAACTGTGTGCAATTTTATTAGGGTTTTTTTTATCTTTTATTGATCATTGAGTTTCTAATTCAGGCAGATAGTTCAAATAGCAGAAAAATAGAAACACTATGACAGTGGGACAGATGTAAGTGAAGAAATGCTAAACTCTGTGAATGGCAAATGTAAAATTGAACAAAACTCAGGGAAATTCCTACATGGTTGAAGAGAACAGTGTGGCACACTGGCTATGAAAAGGAGAGTGGAATGGACCAGGGGCCTCTATGGGAAGCAGCTTTTCCAGGTTTCCTCATTCATTCATTCACTCACTCACTCATTTACTCATTCTTACTCAGGGAACACAGTGAGAATATCCTATGGTAATGGGGGTCTGGAAGAGGCATGAAGCTTGCAACACCAGGACTGAAGGCCACCTCTCTCCTTGCATGCCTGATTCCAATTCTCCTTCCAGATGCCAGGTCTCCAAAAACATCACAGAGCATGGTCAGCCAGGGGAACATCTCATGTCACTAGAGTCACACACTCTTCACACCAGGTTTCCTTGCTGGTCATCAACATACACCCAGAATCCCACATTCAATGGCACATCACACCAGGATCACATATAATCCTAGAGTATCTTTATTTGTTCTATAATTTAATAGTATACCTATAAAATAATTATATTATACTTAGAACTTTTCTTCATTTATAAACAAAACAAAAAATTTAAATACATTTTGAGCCATTAGAAGGTAAACTTTATACATAGGATACCCCCAGAAGGAGCCTCAGCCTGCAGCATATCACATTGCTATCATTGCCACGTCTATGATTGGATTCAAAGAGTGTGCTCAGACCTAGAATCCATGGGTTCTGGTTGAATCCTTTCCTTATTTGCACTGGTTCTGCATTAATAAATTGATACGCTTGGCCTTGTAGTTGGACTGGAGACTCCTCTCCCTTCCACTGAGATCAACGTGGATTTCCTTCCTTCCTTTCTTTTGGCTACATGTTCTGAACTGACTCTATCTTGAAGTTTTCTGCTAAAAATCAAAACTCTGATCTTAGATTCCCTCTTCACATTTTTTTTCCATCTCATGCTGTCATACCCAATGATGTCTCTTTATTTCTGTCTTTTGATTCTAGGCTGCTTATACTTATCTCTGAAATCAAGACACCTGCCCCTGTACAAAGAGCACAGTCTGTGCTTGGGTTTCCTAGTGTTGCAGAAAGGAAGAAAACACAAAATGCAGTGGCAGGCAATAGATCCACCTGCACACCCCATCACATCCATCCTTGCTCTTTGGGTGATGAGCTGTAGACACATCGCCACTGCCTGGTGTCAGAAAGCCTTGATCCCAGAGCAGTGTGAAAAGGGTCTCTCTCACATCCCAGGAACACCATCCTTTGGCAAGGGCACTGGCTGGGAAGTTACCAGTGAAAGGTATTTAGAGTATGCTAATTCCTCCCTATGGCATCTCATTCACATTTGTCAGATTCCATAAACATCACTCACAGAGAGGCCTTTCTGGAGCAACAGAGCAAAGGGACTCAAAGTGAGTATATTTGCAAGAAAATAAATTATTTCAACTCTCTTATATCTAAGGACCACAACAGGAGAAATTCAGTAACTTCAGGGAAATAAAAAGATAGTTTAATGTTTGCTTATGCTCTTTAAATCTTACTTCTTTTTTTTTTTTTTGGAAAAGAAGCTAATTATTTTAGGAGGGACTCTTCCTCTAGATTACTATACTCTATATGTTCATTTTTATTTCCTCTGATACCTACAAAGGGACCCAACTTGTCACATTCTCAAATATGTTTAAGCAAGAAGTATGTTTTGCTTAGTGTCATGGCAGCAAAAATAGTACGTTGTCTCAACCACTTGGGCATATTAAATAGTGAGAGCTTTGGGTTAGCAACTTCCCAGTGACTTCCTACCCAACCCCCATCCGTCCCAATCCAACTTCTACAAGTGTGCTGCTGCTGCACCTTCAGTGACAGCATCTTCAAAGCGACATGGCGACTCCGCCATCCCCCTGCCCAGTCTCCATTGGGTGTACAGCTGTGAGCTGCAGGTCAGGCAGTTCAGACAATACCTTGAGTCTTTTCAGTAGGCCAGCGCCTGCTCTCTTCCCTACTCAGAACGGTGCTGGCAGAGCCAGGGGCAAGACATGTGAAGCGATACACGGAGAGGTCTATACCACTTTTTAACAGCTCATTACAATCTAGGTCCATTATAAAACCAGCGTTAATACAGAGGCCTTGTGTGTGATCATTGTCTAATTGCAGCGGTAATGCATGCACCCCCCGCCCCGAGTCCATCTTGAGTGCACAGATGGGGATGGGGGCAGTAAGGGAGAAGAGGCGGCGATGCTGGAAGAAGAGAGTGGGCTTGGGTTGCTGTGAGTACGGTTCCCCAGCGTAGTCCCCTTCCTGATCCTCTTGGCTCATCGGATCTTCTAGGCATCACGCTAGTTGGAGACCGCCTGAGCAGGGGTATCTCCTTCCAGAACTCTCTACTTGGGCACTGCAGTAGCTGTCAAGGACAGCCTCCAAATCATGAGAAGGAACACCCACCCCAAGAGTTCCATGGGCCTTCCCTTCTCTCTCTCTCCAGAAGACATTCGAGTCAAAGGAGCGCGCCTTCTTCCAGGCGGGAAGAAGGGGCGAGCTGGCTTGGAGGATGAGACCAGGGGGAAGGCTTGCTTTTCCACATGGTGGAAACATCGACGCCGGATTTGTAGTGCATCACCTGAATGATGGTCCCCGGGGCCTCATCCATCCGGCCCGAGCCATAGGCTAGTATTGGAGACACAGGTCGGGGCCCCATTGGGCCAGGAACACATAAGCAAAGCTCCACTGGGATCCTGGTGACCAGAACACCTTCAGCCCCAAAGAGAAGCGCTGTGGCATTGGAGGAGGGGAGACCAGAGAGCGAGTGGGTGAGCTCCAGGCCAGGGACAGAGACGATTGCAGCCCCCCTCTTCCCCCACCACCACCACACACACACACACACACACAGACACAGACACACACCAGCTGCCAGGGCGCGCGGTGCTGAGCTGCGTCCCGCCCGGGTGCTGGGTGTTCACTGCTTGTCCGAGTCGCTCAGGTTCACGGACATACACCTGCACTGCTTCACTTTCTGGATCTTTTTGAGTCGGAAGGGCGGATCCTGGCCGGGGCAGTCGAGCTCCACGATGGCGGAGGTGAGGCGGTGGGGCTTGCAGAAGGCGCAGGATTGGAAGGACTCCTCCTCCTTCTTCACGTGGCGCGGGATGTAGAAGGAGTTGCACTGGCCGTAGCAGAAGCGGTTGATGATGGTGCGGCTGCGGCAGCCCTCCTCGCTCACCGTCTGCCTCAGCGACTGCGTCTTGCACCAGTCACTCTTGAGGTACTTGCGCTCGGTGACCACCAGGGCCTCCTGGCTGGATGCCAGTACTTCCTTGATCTGGTGCTGCCATCTCTCTGAGTTGTTGTTGCTGCTGCCACCGTCCTTATAAGGCGAGGGGATGGCGCCCGCAGGTCGGTTTTTGCGGGTTTCAGTTACCTTCACCAACAGGGCCACCAGGAACACGGACAGGGACAGCTTCCACAACATCCTGCGACAAGAAGAGTTAGATGGTGGTTAAGAAGAGCGAGAGAGTACAGCTTCCGGTGGTTTCCTGTTAGTGCTGGTGACTGGGTGGTTCCTAGGGGTGTTGGGAGTGAGAAGTGACAAAATCGTACACTTTGGGAAAGTAGAGGACACTTAGGACACTTCCCTAAAGAGTGCGTGGAGACGGGGTGGTCGGCAAGTCATTTACACAACAGTTTGAAAACGTATCTAAGTTGAACAACTACCGAGAAATGAAAGCAAAAATCCTTCCACAATGACAGCTCATCGTGGGGATGAGCTGGGGACCTAACTCAAGTGGCAGAGGACCAACTTAGCAAGCCACCAGGACCTGAGTTCCGACTCAGTACCCCCAGCAGACACTGGTGGCTCACACCTGTAACCCTAGCTACTCAGGAGGCTAAAATCTAGATGGTAATTCAAGGCAAGCCAGGCAGAAAAGTCCTGTGAGCATCCATCTCCAATGATCCAGCAACAAAAGGCAGGATTTGGAGCCTGGTGCAGCTAGTAAAAGTGCTGAGCAAGCAAGCCAAGCAAACCTGGGGAATAAATAAGACAATAAATAAATACATTCATATATTTTTGTATTGGAAATCACTTTCTAGTTGAGAATGTCTTTCAAGGCCTATGAAGTAAAAACTAGATGAGTCCCTTAAAAGCTAATAGGATGCCTCCAGGTGTAATGGTCCTAACAGCACAGAGGTTAGGCAAAATAGATGATATTCTGTAAAAGGAATAAAATATATAAGCACAGCTGGGAGCCCATGGCTCATGCCTGTAATCCTAGCTATTCAGACAACTTAGATCTGAGGAACAAGGTTCAAAGCAGGTGCTAACTGGCACTGTTACCTAGCAAAATGCCAGAAATGGAGAAATGTTTTCAAATGCTAGAGCTTCAGAGTTGAGTGGAGAAAGGTAAGTAAGAGTACAGGACCTGAGTTCAACCTTCAGTAGCAACATTAAAGAAAGAAAATGAACAGAGAGAGAGGAAAATTGTTTACTTTTTCTTTGGTAAAAAAGATCAGTACAATTATTGGCAGTGTGAGGTTAAGTTTTAAAAGATGTTTTCTTATGCCATTTAGTTCCATGCATGTGGTGTATGACCACACTTCTAGCACAGCCACAAAGCATGAAGGTATTGGACTAGATCTGATAGTTGCAGAATGATTGTGACTTTCATAATCTCTTAAAAAGTGAGTATTTTCCCCAACTTCCCCCCCACCCCAAGTTGTAAAGTTCATTTTCAACATAGTATCTTGTATATTCTCATTGCTACAATGGGTTAACCTGTATCCTTATTTCAGCATTTTGTTATTTCCCTTTCCCTCCTCAAATTAGAAAAAGTGTTTATACAAGATGCAGGGCACTGACATCAAATACAGTGAATACAGGGGTTATACCATGGGGGAAGAACATACAAAAGAAACAAAAAAATCACACAATATATTAAAAACTACAGCAAGAAAGATAAAACCTCTTGTGTCCCTATCTTGGGGTTCATTTTGCTTAGCATCATCTTATGTGGTCATATGTACATAGCTTTTGACCTTTTCTGCTTGTCCTAGACATATGCTAGCTATTGAAAATAAGGGAAAACATGGGACCTATGCTTCTTTGGGCCTAGATTTCTTCACTTAATATAATTTTTTCCAAGTCTTTCCATTTCCTAACAAATAGGGTAGTATTATTCTTTCTGATGGAAGCATAAGGGATGGTAGGGGAAAAACAAAGGAGGGGGTAACAATGATTGAGAGGAAATGTACTCATTATCTTACTCATGTAACTGTAACCCCTTTGTACAGAATCTTTACAATAAAAATATATATTTAATTTAAAAAGAGTATTTTGATTTCATTTTTCGCTACAAGCTTGCAAGTCTCAGCCAAGAAAGAGTCTGGACCTTGATCCCTCCTTCCATTTGTATCCTCTATGTGTTGTTGGTAAGCTCCAAACTGCACATTTACCTTCAATGGGTTGTAATTGTTGTTAGACACAGTCAGATGGACTGGCAGCAAAACCATTTCATGTCAACATTGACAGACCTGATGGTTAGATGTAGTAATTGAAACATGGTAGGTAGACTCTAGTAAGAACTCAAATAGTATAATTTCTTAGGAAGAAAAAAATCAAGCACCAGGAAATGGGTACTTGCAAGGAGGAGTTTGGGGCCTATGAGAGAGAGGTATACAAAGGAACAGGAGAACAAGGTGAAATGCAGTCAAGAATTCATGGTATAAATATGCTAGAAACAGTAGCAAAAAAGAAAAAGTTTCTAACATATTTATAAGATGATTTCTTTGTTGCTTGGTATGTCCCTCCCCCATGGTATAACCCCTGTTTTCACTCTATTTGATATTGGTATAATTTGTGGAGGGGAAGGTAAAAAAATGTTTAAATAGGGATATAGGTGGACCCATTGCAACAATGAGATGTACAAGATGTTATGTTGAAAATAAACTTTACAACTTTGGCATGCGGGGAGGGGGGGAGGGATGGGAGGAGGGAGAGCAGAGAGGGGAAAGGATAGGAAGGGGAAACAAAGGAGGAGGCAACAATATTTGATAAGAAATGCACTCATTACTTTGTCCATGGAATTGTAACCCTTCTGTATGGTATTTTCACAATAAAAATATTTTTTAAAAAGAATTCATGATATATACTACAAAGTTTTAAAAAAGTGAAAGTCAGATGGGAGGTAAGAATATTGAAAGGGATGACACTGATCTATATTCATCTTAGTCATAAACTACTTTGTTAAATTGCAATTCCTTTGTACAGATACAGATAATACAAAATTGGAAAGAGTAAAAAAGAATGAAATATGCATTATTTGAGCAGTCTAAGCTAGCTATAAAACACCATGAATCCACCCATACAAAGTATATCTCATAAGAACGTAGAGGGAAAAAAAAGCAAAACTCCAAATTTTAGGAAAGGAAAAAATGACTGCTGAGATCTAGGTGACTAGAATCCACTCAGGCTCTTTCTGTCTTTTCTTGGATTTCATTTCTTTTCTCCCTCCTATGTGTGAAAGAACAGGGAAGTGGGCAAGAGTCGGCAACTTGCCACGGTGGCTGTTATGATGCGCCCTCTGTCTTTCAGGGCCACTAAAGCAATTCAGATCATGACACCTACTCCACTGGCCCTCTTTCATGTTGGGTTCACAGGAAGAGAGCATGCGCCTGCCTCTGCCTTCAGTTCACCAATATCTCATACATGTCTCCTTGGACCCATCAGGACCTGAATTCGGGCCTTCCAAGGTTTTCTCTGTCCCAAACCCCTTTGCTAGCCAGAGAAATGGCTGGCACAAAATTAACCTCTCAGGAATGTTGCTAAGGCTGCCAGTAATGTCAGCATGAGGATACTCTCACATCTTGGATTTGGCTTGTATCAGAAGAAACTCATAAATAAATGCTGCTGGTTTTATTAACCATCCTTCTGGCCTGACAGTCTTGTCAATTTGCAAATAGTGCCAGGCCTATAAATGCTGATGGCCTAAAGCAGAATGGGCTGGCCAAAGTTGATTTTGCAAAAAGAGAGGTAGTAGTGAAAGTATTTTTCTCTAACAAAACACTCTGGATTTGGCCTCTGAAGAAATCAGAACAAGAGTTACCCAGGCCAGAACTTTACTGCCTTAGGCAGGGGAAGAACCACAGACCCCTTACTCCCAGCCCATCTTAAAATGGTCAAGATTGGGAGTGGAGCTATGTCATAGGACTGGGACAAGAAAGCTTCCTGATTTCTAAGAAAACCGTAAAGCAGTCATCCACCCCTACAGATGTATGCAAATGAGCAAAAGCCTAGGGTGCAATGAGGTGGATAAAACATTCTCAGACTGAACTTGCTGACTCTCAGAGGTCAGGAGGAGGCAGAACTGGGCTGGGAGAGTGAGGAATGAAATGCTTCTGAAACATTTTCCTCTGATCCAAGGATTCCTGGGCATCCTTGAAAGATAGAAGGGAAGCACTGGGGGCTGAATACCCATCCCTAAGCACATCTGGGATAAAATTGCTTCTACCACCCAAGTAAAAAACAAAACAAAACAAAACAAAAACCCCCCAAAACTGAAAGCAAACAAAGATTGAAACCCAAACTCCTAACAATGTTAACTACCAGAGATTACTTTTAGAGTTTTAAACAGCAACAGCCTCAACCACTAAAGGTTCCTCAGTTGCCATTTTGATTCCTAAAGCTGGGAGGATAGTGGTTTAGGGACTATTCTCTCTCTCTCTCTCTAGAGAGAGAGATGCGGTTTCCCTGGTTACAACATCCTCCAGGTCTAAAATTGTTGCTGCTGAAGCCATTTACCTCCCTGGTAACTGTAAATTACAAGCACAGCAAGCTACAGCACAGGAGTCAAAGCCATCCTGAGGTCTGGGTTTGCTAATAAGGTGGTATTGGTGCATGGTCAAATTCATCCAATTACATTTTTTCTCTGGATGCTTTCTGCATTGTGAGGCATAATGAGTCGTGGAGCGGCCATAAGCTCACAAGGTAAAAAAAATATTTACTCTTTGAGTTTTTACAGAATGGCCAGGTTTGCTCCAACCTTTTTCTGTCTAATTCAATTCTTGCCTTTTAGCAAGTAGGTTCTTTCATTTTACCATGGAAAAGTAGTTTGCTTTCTTTCAGTGTAAAAAAAAAAAGATGAGCTCTTTAGCATTTCAAACATGAAATGAAATAAGGAATGTAATAATCCTTTGTACTTACCAGGAAGAGAAAAGCAAGGTTGCTATACAGTATCTTTTCATTTTGGGAAAAAGCAACAATGAATATGTATGCTTCTATTTGTACAACATTACAGTCTCCTCCCCTTTCCATCCTTTCTTATACCCCCATTGAGATGGTCAGCATGCTGTCACGGGCACCTAACTTCACTGCTGGTGCATTGTAGGTGTGTGTATGTGTGTGTGTTTATGCAAATAATCTTCTATATCTCTCTATATATCTTCTATATCAACTAGTTTAAAAATATGTTTTTGATTT